TTGAGGAGCTCCTCACCAGCCTGCCTGGAATCATCCTATACCCACAATAAAAAAATCAAAAGTGAGGCAAAGATTGTAGCAATAGACTGTATTATTTTGGGAGTCTCTTGGACTAACCCGACCAAGAAGTAGAAGGGAGGTTTCTCCTGCCTGACATGATTCTTTTGTTAGATAGCTTTCAGCTATACACATGCCCTTGTATATTTACTGTATGCGTGTTTTTCAGTAGGACGTTGAACGAATACATTTCCCTCTGGTTTTTCATATCATCTAAGCATTATTTATCTCTCCTCTCCCACTGTATAACCCTCTCTATTCCCTTCCTAGTTACACACATTTCCACATTTCCCTGTTAATAACACCTGTGTCCTACTACCACCCTTTCTCGAACTCCTTTTCCCCCTTTATCCCCATGGTTACGTTCCATTTTCCTGAATCCTGTGGTTACATCAGGATACATACTCACAGCTAGGGATTTGGAGCTAAGATCCACAAATGGGAGAAAACGTACATTGCTTCTTTTCCTGTATCCGTGTCACTTCCCTTAGTGTAAGAGTTTCAAGTTCCAGTAATGCTCATGGTAGTTTGCTCTTGATTGTGAAGATTCTGGGTGAGTATACGGAGACCACATGGAACTCCAAAAATTATGTGTTACACTTCTTTTTCCTTTCAGGAATTCTATTCCCAGAATAGCACAGTTATTTGAAATCCTCCTTCAAATGAGCTTCATAGTTTGTGAAAGGTGAGAATGCTCACACCTGCTTTGCAAATTGATAAACTATGACCTAAATTCTTAACAGGTGGTTTGCTTGAAATAAGAAAGTGAATCAGCACCGGTGCTGTTGATTGGATCTAGCTAACTGGATCTGTCATCCACTAACTTTCTGACCTCCTTTTTCCTTTTTGTTCAGTTAAAAAATAAAGTTCAGTAGTAGGAACTTGTGGATAGTTTTATCTTGAGGTCATTGCATTTCTCTGTGTGTATGTATGTATACACACTGATGTGTTTGTGTGTGTTTCTGTGTTCACCTGTGTTTTCTGAAATATATTTCCCAAGTAGTATAGTATTCCTACTTCCCAGATGGTGGTTCTGGTTTTTTCATTTTGGAAATTGCTAACAAATCAGGAGGTTCTCCATGTCAGTTGACAGACTTCAACAGCATCTGATAGGTGACCAGCCTCTGCCACCCAGTCCCCACCTTATTCTACAACTAGGCATCACATGGATAGTACAGACAAAGGTTGGAATATATGGTTTCACAAAAAAAATTAGGACAGTGGACTGGTTTGATCATTACTGAAAAGATTCTATACATATCCAGTTGAAATATGTTGCTCTGATCAGATTAAACTCATTTTGGGCACTCTCTGACTCCATTTTTTGCATTACCTCCTCTGTAATACAATACTAGTTTTGTCTTTTTTTAAATAGTGCCTAAAGTTAGTATCATATGTGGTTGGTGTTCTTCTTGAATGCTATTCTTTAAGAAATTCACCTTGCAAATAATTACCATTATGTTTGTTCACAAGTAGAATTGTGCCATTAGGAAAAGTACCAAAGCTAAAGATGGACTCCTTCTTCTTACCAGAGGCTCTATTTCAATAAATAGAGGGAATACTCCAGTAATCTAACATGCAGTATTGTTTGAAATTAATTCCAAATACACACACACACACACATACACACACACATACACACACATACACACACACACACACACACACACATACACACACACTTCAAGGTTGACATTTGATATATTTAAAGACCTTTTCCAGAATCAGGGAATTTTGTGACTTTGGAAAATTTAAGCCAAATGAGCCCTTAAAGTCTTAGAGTCAGACATGTTCCCTTTCTATGAAAGTGCTGTGTGAGGAAAAACCAAGCAAGATGTCATCAGGAGTTAGGACAGTTTGTAGCATTCGGAGCATTCGTCCTGTGACAGAATGTATTTACTGACATTGGCTAGGAAACAATGTGTTCTAAACTACATCTTAATAAAACAGATACAAATTTTAAAAAGATTCTCATGTCTTATGTTCCTAAATTTCAAGCTTTATCTTTAGTTTTTGAAAGTCTTTCAAATGTATTTTCTTGAATGTTTTAGTGTAGCTTAAGGTTGAAATTCATGTAAAGTTTTTCTCATATTGATAATGAAATATTCAAATAAATTTCTAGTACTTTCTTTGTCTGCACTACCAGCCAGATCATTTAAAAAGTTTGTAGATACATAAATTTTTTGTTATAGATATTTTTATTTTTTGATAATTTCGTCCATGAATACTGTATTTGCATAATTTCCATTCTCCCCCTCTCCCTCCAACTCTTCCCATGTGTCCCCTACTCCATCTTAATTTTCCTCTTCTTTGAATACTATTATTACATATAGAGACATACATTTATAAATACAAATGTGATATATATATATATAGATAGATATATAGATATATTGCACTGGGTCCATTT